ATCCAACTCAGGGTGGTATGGCCTGTACTCTAGCCCTGCTCCTTTATCTGGTGATTCTACCCTTAGATTCCAGTCCATGGCTCCTCTTTTACCCTTAAGTTGATGGAGATCCCTACCAAGTCTAAAATGGATCCACTGCCCTTTGTACTTGATTCTCATCCCTCATTCGAAAAAGTATTGTCTTAGAACTCTGGTCTGGGACTCTACAGTTCTTTCCATCTCTGGGGTCTGGCAGCCAGAGAAGGAAGAGGAGTTCTTTGCTGATTTTATGGAAAGACAGCTAGGTATGAAAAGGGAATGGATATACTAAGTGACTCTGAAAGTGTCCCAGTACTCTGCCTGATTGATAATAACTCTAATAACCCCCTTTCATTTATGTGCACATACATACCCACATGCATGCAGGTGCCAGAGGAGACCAGAAGAGGGCACCAAGTCCCTTGGAGCTGGAGTTACACATGTTTGTGAGCCACCAGATGTGGGTGCTTTGAGCAGGAAGTATTTTTAACCACTGAAACACCTCTCCAGCCCCTTTGTGTTTCTCTGAAGTCTAGCAAGTTTTCAAATGTGTTCTCTCCCCAGCATTTCTAACCACCCTTCCCTTCTCTTCCCTCAGCTCAGCACCCCACCTGCCTACTTCTCTTCCCTCCTAGTACTGAGGTCTCCTGTGGTATACAGAATAACCCCCTCCAAAGCTGGTCATGTCCCAATTCCCGGAACCTGTAACTATGTATGTTACAGTGAGGATTGCAGATGGAATTAAGGTTTCTAATCAGTTGACCTAGATTATCTAGGATGAGCTGGGTGGTCACAATGGAGTTACAAGGGTCCTTACAGGTAGGAGGGGTGGGCAAAGGATGAATCAGAGGAAGACGTGGCTTCTCCAAAAGTCAAAATAATTATGTGAGAAGAACTTAGCTCACCTCTCCAGCTGAGCAGAATACTCTGGAAGCCAGAGTAAAGGAAATGGGTTCTCTCTTAGACAACCCACTTCCAGAAGGAACATAGTCCTACTTATACCTAGAATTTAGCCTAGTAAGACCTATTTTATTTCTGGTATCCAGAACTGCAAAATAACTTCTTGCTTTTTCAGCCACTATATATGTCATGAATATACTGCTGAGGCAGCAGAACCAACACACTGAACCAGTCTCCACCACAGGATGATAAGGCCTTAGGATACAGACTTTCCTAGAAATCCAAGACAATAACGGGGCACTTAATCAGTTAATAACTGGTTTGTTGGCCAGAAACAGAGACAATATTAATAATGGTGCTATAAACAAGACAGCCACTTATTTCTCTCTCACTTAAAAGGTGGCCAGTCTACAGCTGGCATGGTGTTGCCACACTATCAACAAGAACTCAGATTCTGGACCTAGAAAGACAGCTCAGCCATTAAAAGCCCATGCTGCTCTTCCAATTCCCAGCAGCACTCGCCTTGGGTGGCCTACAGATGCCTGTAACTCCAGCTCCATGGGATTCAACACCCTCTTCTGGCCTCCTTAGGTACTTTCACACATGTGTGCATACACACAACACACACTCAAATTTAAAAAAATTTTTAAGTCCTTAAAAAAAAGAAAGAGTACCACCATAAAAAAAAATGTATGCAAATTCTTCCTGCCCACCCTGGAATTTTCAAGACAGTCAGGAGCAGAAGGGAAGGGAAGCAAGGAGGGCTGGCTTTTCCTTCAAGGACATAGCTAATTGTGTACCATTGACCAATGCTAAGATGCTCATATCTAGCTGCAAGGGAAGCTGGAAAATGAATCACTCAGCAGACAATACCCAGTTAAAATTCAGCATTCTTGTGTGATCTCTGTTAAATGTGGGCTAGGGAGATGACTCAGTTGGTAAAGAGTTTTCCATGCAAACTGAGGATCTGAGTTTGATCCCCTGGAACCTAGGTTTAAAAAAAAAAAAAAAAAAAAAAAAAAAAAAAAACGGGTACAGAGGCATCCACCTGTAATTCCAGCTCTGGGAAGGCAAAGATAGGAGTCTCCCTGGGGCTTGCTGATCAGCCAACATAGTGGAATCAGTGATCTCAAGGTTCAGTGAGAGACACTGTCTAAAAAAATAAGGCAGAGAGTGCTAGAGAAATGACTCAGTGATTAAGAACACTGGCTGTTCTTGCAGAAGACCTGGGTTCAGTTTGCAGCACCCACATGGCAGCTAACAACTGTCCATAACTCCACTTCCAGAGCATCTGATGCCCTCTTCTGACCTCTGCAGGCATTGTACACACAGGCAAAACACACACATAAGACTAAATAAATAAAATAAGGTAAAGATCAATTGACATCAACCACTGGCCTCCACACTCATACATACATGCACATGTGCCTGTGCAAACATGAGCACACATGAACAATATGTACACATATACACAAGAAAAATAAATAAATAAGTAATGAATGTCATTACCAATGAAGTAGAGAGAACGAGGAATTGGGAAGTGGATTATGCTTTTGCTTCATGTTACTGTGTGATCTGGTTTAGACTGAAGAGCAGAATAGCTGGCCAGACTCCCAAACCTCTCTCAGGCCTAATGAGGATTCAGTAACTCTGTGATTATCTGCATCTAATGTGATGAATGAATTATAGTTTGGCAGAAACATTAGCTCCACAGAATAATCAGGGACTTGGAGATTGTGGCTAGTTCCATCTTTGGGCGAGTGAAATCAAGCTGGCCAACTGGGAAGTCAGTACTCCATCTTGGCTGTATGAAATTTTACTAGGCTCTAAGATACTTGTTGGATTGTGGGCATATAATGCCCTGTGAGATGCCTGGGTCCTAACCATGCTGATGAAATCATAGTCTTATTTTTCTTATACTTATTTACTTGCATGTGTGTGCATGCATGTATGAGACAGGGCATGCATGGGGAAGTCAAAGGATAACCTGCAGAAATCAGTTCTCTCTGGCTACCAGGCAGGTCCCCAGGGATGGGACTGCTCACAGGCTTGGCAGTAAATGCCTTTACCCATTGACCCATCCCTCCAACCCCACCCTTACTTTTTTAACATGAATTTCTCCCCTCATCTTCAAGTATCTGAAAGTACAGTTTGAAGATATTTGTTACTTCAGGAATTTCTTCAGTTTTCCCTTTCACTGTATTGTCTCCAAACCCTTTGAAACAAAGTTGAGGGAACAGTTAATTATCCTCCCATTTATACTGCAAATGCTGTTGGATGGCTTATTTTGCAGCGTTCATCATAAAATGACCCTCTCAGAAGGAACTTTACAGAGAATTATACATAATGTCTTCTTTTGTCTTGAGGAATTGTATATGAAAAAATAAATACCAAAGAGATAATTATATATATTTGCTTTTTTGGTAATTAAAACAAAAAAAATTTCTAATTTTAGTGAGTAGGCAAAATTATGTCTAAAATTTATTGTGGGTTATTCTCCATTCCCCAGTTTTTCTATGTGTCCTTGTTCTGTTTTGAAATGAGGAACTTAATCTTGCTCTATCCCTAGATAAAGAGATTTCCCAGACTAGCCAGAGTCATGGCTTTTAATATAACGTATCCAGAACGAGATTCGACTAGTGTAGATCAAAGCTGCTTTTCATGCTTCATCTTGTAGGTCTTGCCCTCTAGTTAAATTGAAGCTCTCAAACTGCTTCACTCTTGGCTGTTGGTAACCTCTAGGGACAGCTTTATACAGCTGGCCCTAAAATAACACATCACACTTTGACATGAAGTAAGAGCCAATCAGAATGTGGGGGAAATGGACACCAAAATTAAATGACACTTTTAAAGATGAACAGTAAAAATAAAATAAGATGACATGATCGGTCAAGAAAGAATTAAAGGAGAAATAAAATTGGGTTAGGATTTGAAGGTTGTGGGAGGTACGCCATAGGAGAAGTGGGGAATTATAGCAACAAAGCCTTCTCATGATCGCCGTACGTACAGAACTCCCCTTTTGAAGCATACGTACACCATCTCCATGTTGATTTAAAAAAAAAGACGAAGTTTTTAAAAATATTTTATTTATTATTTTTATTTTATGTGCATGAGTATACTGCCCGCATGTATGTGAGTGTACCCATGTCATGCAATGCTGCAGAGGTCAGAAGAGGGCTTCGGATTCCCCTGGAACTGGAGTTAAGGATGGTTCGTAGCTGCCATGTGGGTGCTGGGAATTGAACCCAGGTCCTCTGCAAGAGCAGTCAGTGCTCTTAATTGCTGAGCCATCTCTCCGGCCCAAAAGACGAAGTTTTTATGCTTAGCTTAGAAAAATACTAGTAAACTAACTGATGTACTTAACAATTTGACATTGCTAAGTACATCATCAATTAGTGTTTTCCCTCCTCCTTGACATGTGTAGGTGTGTTCCCGAAGAACTGTGAGAAAAACAATTGTTAGCAAACAGAGTTGTGAGTCAAGCCAAAATCCAAATAGAATGAGGTAGAGGGATAGCTCTTTACAGCGCTGGCTTAGTAACACTGAGAAGCCAGCCCCCTGCATCGCCCCTGCAGTAGGTAGGTCAAGGTGGTCGCAGAATCGGCAGGGTGGAACATAAGCCTGGCAGAAGAACGTTGGAAACAGTGCTGAGTCCCGCAGGAGCACAGAACTTACCATCTATACCTCTGCTTTCACACTCTAAGGACACTTCACCCAGCCTCTGACAACAGAGCCCCTACTGTGCCTACAGCAGCCAGTGATGAGGCCCACCAGAACTCTACCACTTCCAAGTCATTTTATAAGTTAAGAGGATTTAATTGACATTGCTAAGTACACCAGTTAGTGTTTTCCCTCCCCCTTGACATCTTGTTCTGCCTAACTTGTTGAGCCTTCCTTTTTGGGGATGGACAGAATTGAGAATCAAAGTTTATGTTCTGGTCAGTTTGCCAGTCAGACATAGTGCTGACTGGACTGTAGCAGGCTGGGGAACTGGACCTGGCTATGACCACTGTTTTGAGATCTACCAATTATGAAGAACTTGCATGTTCTTCTGACACAGTCTTCTTTGTTTTGTATTCCAGAGTGTCTGAAAAGCCCATCCAGCACTCCAATGGCCAGCAACAACACCGCCAGTATAGCACAAGCCAGGAAGCTGGTAGAGCAGCTGAAGATGGAAGCCAATATCGACAGGATAAAGGTGAGGACAGCAGAACCCATAGCTCTTCAGCTTTAAGGAGTGAACAGTTTGCAGTCATCTGTCATTTGGCCTCTGTTCCATCGAGATGGAAGAGATAAAGGACAGAGGAGGAATCTAATGATTAGGCCAAAGCTCATTCCTCTAAGGTATCTTTGCATTCTCTAGGTTTCCCTAGCATAAAACTAAGGTATGCATTGACGTGAGTTCTCCATGTTGAATCAAAGGCAACACTACCACAGCAAAAAGCAAAACAGGCTTGGGCTGGACTCCAGCCAAGGAAATAAGAGAACATGTGTGATATCACCTCCCTGACCCCACAAAGATTCTCTTTTCATTTTGCATTCTAACTTTTCTGTCCTCATTCAAGATCTATAGCTCAGTGTTCATCTTTCATGTCTAATCTGTTTTATTCACCATTGGAAGATTTTTCTTCTTCTTCTTCTTTATATCTTACTAGATTTTTTTTCTTCAAAACACAAGAGTCATACTTGGAGGCTGGGAAGGTGGTTCAGTGTGTAAAGTGCTTACTGCACAATCATGAGTTTGGATCCCCAGAACCCACATAAAAAGCCAGGCATGAGGGCTGGCAAAATAGCTCAGTGGGTGGCATCAAGCTATCAAGCCTGATCATCCCCAGAGCCCATATGGTGGAAGGAGAGAACAGACTCTTGCAAGTTGCTCTCTGATTTCCACACATGGGCTGTGTCATGCATGTGTGTGCACACACAAATAAGTAAATAATAAATAAATAAAATATAATAAATAATAAATAAACCAACCAGATAGAACAGAGTGCTGTAACTCCAGCACTGATGAACAGAGAGGCAGATCCCCGGGGATCACTGGCCTACCAGGCTAGCTTAAACTCAAGCTCCAGGTTCAGTGAGAGACCCTGCCTCAAAAAATAAGGGAGAGTGATAGAGGAAGACACATGATATCACCTCTAACCTTCACACACATGCACAGATGAGCACACATATATACCCATATACACATAAAGTCATACCTGGTCTCCTTAAAATAATCAAACAGCATAGAAGCTTAATGAACGTTAATAATCTACTTCTTTCGCTCATTCCCCAGACCTAACCTGTCAGCTTTGCTTTAAGTCAGGGCTGACTTATACAGACCAAGGTTTTAAATCCAAATCCTTTACTGGCAGATTTTGAATGTGAAGGCCCCACTGTATCATTATGCATAGACAGCTATTAGGATGGATGGTAAGGTAAATTTTTGTTGATCATCACAATTTTACTTCCTCAAAAGCATTTTAGGAAATGCAACTCAGAAACTTATCTCATTGTACTAAAATAAAAATAGAACATTATTCTGAATGCCTTTTTCTAAACTACAGTATTTTTCCTACTTTCTACACCTTAAACAATCTGGGTAGTCTAGCCATCCACTGGGGCATGCAGAGAGCAATGAAATAGGTCTCATGAGCCAAATCCAGCCCACTGTGTGTTTTTATAAATAAAGTATTATTGAAGCACAGTTGTACTCGTTCGCTTACATTTTGTGTATGGTTTCATTCATACTCCAACCACAGAGCAGAGTAGTTAACAGAGATCACTCAGCCCACAGAACCCCAAATAATGACTTTCTGTCCCTTTGCAAGAAATGTTTGCTGACTTCTGGTATAGAACAGGAATTCTCAGTCCATTTGTGTGTTCATGTCACCCAAAGGGCTCTATAAACAGACTAGCTCCCAAGCCACACCAAAAAGAAAGCCAATTAAATTAGATCTCTTGGGTATAGGATCTAGGCATCTGTATTTTTTTTTAAATCTTTAATTTAAAAAAAAAATTTTTTTAAATCTTCAGTTACTTCCAATATATAGCCACAGTTGAGAACTGCTTACCCAAGGGGCAAGGGAGGGATCCGAACCTTCTAGCTGCCATTGGGTGAGTCCGGTGAGAGAAGGGAGAGCTCACCTTCCTTCATAAAGAAGCTGGGCACACATCAAGGGGCGTTTTCTCATCTGTCCTAAACCTCCTTTGTAAAAATCTGACTCCCAGTGATTGGCCACATCCTGATCAGCTCCTGCTGTCCGCCATGGCATTTTTCCGTCTTTGCTTGTAAACGAGGTAAAGGCTCCTTACCACGTGTCTTCTTTCTTTGCCCCCTTCTGCTTCTCCTTCCTTCTAGCATCTTCTTTTTTCATTCCCTTACTGAAAAAAGTGCGAAGAGACAGGTGGGCATTTTTTAACTGCTAGGAGAAGTGAGTTGGCCCATGGATTGTAGTACAAGAAACAGATATTCAAGTCTCTTATGGGGAAAGAAGGTTCTACCTATCGTCCTCCTGGAAAATATCACTATGACTTTTTGGTGAAGATCAGTTATAGTTGGCATTTTCTGTGACTCCTCAGACTCCCTAGGCGCTGTTCCTGGAGGGTGTGTTGTACTGATGAGTGATGAAATTCACAGGAAGTGGAAGAAAAAAACCTGAAATCCAGCAGACTGTCAACCTTGAGCAATTCTGACCTGATACCTGCAGTCCATCTCAACCCACTTCCATTCCTGTTATCAATTACCTGTCACATCACTGCCAAAGGAAACTTTCTAAAAGAAAATCTCATCATGTTCTTCTCCCACTGCAAACATTATTATACAGTGATGCCCCAGCTCCTGTGTGATGGACAGTCTACAGAAGTTCCCTGGCCCCTGCCCATCTTTCCAGCTTTCTCTTCTTCCTCTTGCCCACACTGGTCATACTGACCATTTTTGGTTCACCAAATGGGAACTCCAAAAGCCTCGAACATACCGTACATATCCTGCCCTTCTCCACATTCTGCTCTACTATTGAGAAATGACCCTGAGTCCTTGAAGATTCAGACCAATCATTAGGTCCTTTAAAGAAGCTTTCCAGAGCCCTCCTTTTGGGTTGGATTTTTTATTTGTCCAGTTGTTCAATCATTCATTCATTTAATAAATATTTTATTGAGCATTTTCTATATTGCCAGGATCTGTTAAGTTCTAGAAATACAGAGATAAATAAAGATATGATTCTTGCTCTCAAAGATGTGTGGTATAGTAAGCGGTTACAAAAGATATGAACAAGACCTATTATCAGCATAAGCAAAAATATCCAGGAAGCATAATTACCAAATGGCATCAGAAAACAGCTAACACCTGATTGCCCTTTGGAACCGACATGAATAGCTACAGAAAGAAAGAGCAAAGGTTAGCCTAACAAACCCAGCACCAAGTGGTCTTCCCAGGTGATCTTCACATTCACACCTCTCAATCCTTGACATCATCAGACTTTCCATTGTTGGAAATACAGCAGCAGCCCGTACTTGGGCATTTGTTCTACACTGCACAACCAGCCAGGCATGCTGTGCCGAGGGAACAGTTTATTTTTAGTTAAACTGTTGGGTAAAACTGTGATTGTGTTGACACATTGTCAGCTAGCTGTTCAGGGCTTGGTTATCTGCCTTTAGGGGTCTCTCCAAGGCCTCTGAGCTTTCTAGCTTCTCTACATGGTCTGGTCAGCAAAAGGGGGCTGTTCTGAGGATGCCAGGTTTGTGATTTTCCAGTTACAACAGTAGCCTCAAATAATGAGTGATGTATAACTGGAAGAACTGACTGTGGCTAAGATGCCAAGGAGAAGGACCCTTAATAAAAGAGATGGGAAGGGCTGGAGAGATAGCTCAGCAGTTAAGAGCACTGGTTCAATTCCCAGCACCCACATGGCAGCTAACAACTGTCCAAGCTCCAGTATTAGGGGAATCTGACACCCTCTTCTGACCTCTACAGACTTTGCACAACCCGAGTGTGCTTACATACATGCAGGTAATACACTCATATCCATAAAATAAAAATAACAAATAAAATATTTTAAAAAGAGATGGGATACAGCAGGCACTAGAACCATAGAAGGTCATAATCAGGGGTTGCCCTATCCCTCAGGTGGTCTCCAGAGTAACCCAGTCTGCTCTACTGGATTTGAATAACATTTTTTTTTGTTTTTAAACTTTCATATTATCTATCCTTTCCATCACAGGTCCTGGGAGACTTGGAATAATGAAACCATTATCTGTTCATAAGCCCCAGGCATATATGATTATACTCCCTGCCTTTGTTAGTATATCATTCAAGGACAGGGAGTAAAGGCAGATGAAAGGGAAATGGGAAGGGAGTTGAAGAGGGAAAGAAGGAGAGAGAGAGAGAGAGAGAGAGAGAGAGAGAGAGAGAGACCATGACACTTATTTAAAGCAGCCAAACACATGAACACTCAATGATGAAATAAGGAAAGCTCATCACAGACGAAGGGAAGAAACACAGTAGAGGACAGAAGGGTTTCAGTAAAAATCTTCATCACTATAGTGGACGTCTTTGGGTATCTAATAGAAACCTAAACCAGCTAGCTTAGGCAGAAAGAGAGGATTCATTATAAAAGATACAAGGTATCTCTAAACCCAGGAGTGGAGCTGGGTCAGCAGTGGAAGGTCGGACTGGAAGCCACTAGGAGTGGCGAGTGCTCCATCATGACCCACTGCCATTTGTGTGACGTGTGTACAGTGGATTTCTCAGCTGACTGGTGTGTACAGCAGACACAAGATGGCTGCCCACAACTCCTAGGGCAACAGAAAGAGACAGATTTATTCAATCAATTCATTTCAGTTTCAGTTGCATAGTCATGGAGTGGCATCTCTGTTATAGCAAGAATGATACACTTCCAGCTTCATTCAGCTGTCATTAGAATTGAACCAAGTATAAAATCACGGCTCCTATCCAAGTGTGTGGATAAGAAGGGAACCAGGAACTACTGCAAGCTAACAATATTCCCTGACAGACACCACTCTTAGCATTAAGAAAAATAGTGTAGGAGTTGGAGAGATTTCTCAGCAGTTAAGAGCGCTGGCTGCTCTTGAAGAGGACCCAAGCTCAATTCCCAACACCCACACGGCAGCTAACAACCATCCATGACTCCAGTTCTAAGGCATCTGACACCCTCTTCCAACCTCTGCAAGCACTGCGAGACACTGGTACCCTAC